ACTAATATTATGAAGTGGAAAATTGTTAACTGTGTGACCTGGAGCAACTTACTTGATTTGACTGGGCCTCAGTTTTTTCATCTACGGAACAAAAACATCAATACCTACACCAGCAGATAAAGATGCTTAGTCCAGAATTACCATGTTTATAGCAGACATTCATTTATTCATGAAACACGTGTGAGCATCTATCAAGTGCCTGTCCACAGAGGCACATCAGTAATGTGATGTGCATTGACTTACTTTCTCATGCACTCTGGGACGTATGTCTCTTCATTTTCCCTTAGTGCTATATACACACACATTTCATTTTGTATTTTAAGGCAGTGCAGTCATACTGACTATACTTTTTATAACTACATTTCCTGTTCAGTGTATACTATTTGTAGGTTCTCAACCTGGAGCAACCCCATTACTCACAGGGACGCTGCTGGAGAGGAGATGCTACTGACATCTAGTGGGTAGAGGCCAGGAATGCTGCTGAGATCCTACAGTGCACAGGACACCCCTCCAAAACAAAGAATTCTCTAACCTTAAATGTCAGTGGTGTTGGTTGGGAAACCATCTAGTATACCATGGTTTTTAATAACAGCATTGTATTCAGTTATGTGAACATAGCATAATTTACTTAATTAAATACTTCCTATTAGACACACTTCTGTATTTCCCTTAGCTGTTGAGGATAAAAATTCATCAGAAGAATCACTAGATCAAAATGTTCTAAGGCTGCTGATGCATTTTGACCATTAGTCTCTGAAAAGTAAAGTACTTAACACCCAATATTTTCCCTGGCTCTAATTTTATCATTATTTTTCCTTTAGAATGGATGGAGAGTTTAGTGGTTGGACATAGCAAAAAGAGAAAGTATTCCAAACAGCAAGGGAATGTGTTACAAAGGGCAGGGGATTATTTACCCAGTTATATGCACCAACAGAAGATCATTTGCATTACTTTAAGCTTTTCCATGCTCACTATTTGTAAAATGTGCTTGACATTGGATACAAAATAAGAAAGAGTACCCTACTGGTGAGAAGTTCTGAAGTTAGTAACTATAGAGTCTGTGCTGTGAGAGGAACAAATACTAAGGCATGAAAGTCTCAGGAGAAAAAGGAGTAATTACAGTTTTCTTGTTGTTGTTTTGGTTCCTGTTGTCATTGTTTTTCTAGACACGGTCTTGCTATGTAGCCCAGGCTGGTCTCGAACTCCAAATTCTTCTGCCTTAGTCTCCTGAGTGCTGGGATACAAGTGTGCACTATTGTGCCTGACCAAATAATTCCATTTTTGTGAGACTGGAGATAGCAGAGCTACATGGAAGAATGGAGTTTTGAATTGGCCTTTGGGAAACAAATTAGCATTTCTATGAATAAGAAAAGAAATTTACGTAGTGGGATTTTATGAGTAAAGACATGAGGGCCAAACTGTTCTAGTATTTTAGTGATGGAGTCCAGTTTTGCTCCTAGAGTTTTTCTTTAGCTAGAGGAAAACAAAACAAAAAATAGGAAAAGGAAAATCTGGGGCCCTAACTATACTGAGATGCTAATCTGTGGGCAATGAAGAACCACTGCTTTTTTTAAAAAAATTTTTTTAAAAATTGTGCTGGGGATACATGGTGGCATTTATAAAAGTTCTTACAATATATCAGATGTATCATACTTGAATTTACTCTCTCCACCATTCTCCTTTATCCTCCCTCTGCCCATTCCTGGAATAGTCTCATTTTCCCATTTACGTACCTGTGCACACAGTATTAGTACTATATGCACCCTTTCCCTACTCTTCTCCCCTTCCACAACAACCACTCCCCAAGGACCTCCTGTTCTCTGATTTTATAAAAGAAAGAAAATGGCATTTTTGTTTGCTTAAGATAGTTATTCAGGGAATTTCCTTATGACACTTCCATGTGTATATGTATTATAACCCAAATTGGTTCATCTCCTCTGTTTTTCTTCTTTCTACCTTAAGCCCTTGTTATGGTGATTTCAACAGGTTTAAAAATTCTGTATTCATTCTTGTATAGAGAGTATATCAACCATATCCACCTCCTAACTTCCTCATTTTACCCTCCCTCTCTTGTTTGTGACCCTCCCCCTTAGTGTAGCCTGTTTTTCATAATGTTGCTGTATATATATGTGGTTTATATATATAAACCATATGTGGTTTATAGTCCACATATGAGAGAAAACATGTGTCTTTTGGTCTTCTGAGCCTGGCTAACTTCACTTAGATGATGTTCTCCAGTTCCATCTGTTTACCTGCAAATGACATAGTTTCATTCTTCTTTGGCTGAATAAAATTCTACTGTATATAAATATCACATTTTTTTAATCCATTCATCAGTAGTGGGTCATCTTGGCAGTTTCCATAGCTTAACTATCGTGAATACTGCTGCAATAAGCATGGGTGTGTAGGTGCCTTTGCTGACTTACATTCCTTGGAGTATGTCCTTAGGAGTGGAATTGGTAGATCATATGGTAGTTCTATTTTTAATTTTTTGAGGAGTGTCCATACTCTTTTCCATAGTGGTTGTACTAATTTACATTCCCACCAACAGTGTATGAAAGTTCACTTTTCACCACATCCTCACCAACATTTGTTGTCGTTTGTGTTCTTACTGGTAGCCATTCTAACAGGAATGAAGTGGAATCTTAATGTGGTTTTGATTTGCATTTCCTTCATGGCCAGGGATGTTGAGCATTTCTTTATGTGTTTTTTTGGCCATTTGGACTTCTTCCTTTGAAAAAGTTCTGTTCAGTTCATTTGCCCATTTCTTCATTGGGTCACTGATTTTTTGAGAGTTAGTTTTTTGAGCTCCCTGAATATTCTGATTATTAATCCCTTGTCAGTTGTATAGCTGACAATGATTTTCTCCCATTCTGTGGAGAGCTTCTTCAATTTGGTGACCATTTTTTTTGTTGTGCGGAAGCTTTTTCATTTCATGAAGTCCCTTTTGTCAGTCCTCTCTCTCAGTCGCTGAGCCATTTGAGTTCTATTTAGGAAGTCATCGCCTATGTCTGTTAATTCCAGTATATTCCGTGCTCTTTCCTGCACTAGCTTTAAAGTACAGGTCTTATATTAAGGTCCTTAATTCGCTTTGAAGTGATACTTGTACAGGGTGAAAGACATGGATTTAGTTTCAGTTTTCTGCATATAGATATCCAGTTTTCCCAGCAACATTTGTTGAAGAGACTGTCTTTTTTCCATTGTATGTTTTTGGCACCTTTGTCAAAAATCAGATGGGTATAGCTGCATAGATTCATATCTGGGTCTTCTTTTCTGTTCCATTGGTCTTCATATCTGTTTTTGTGCCAGTACCATACTGTTTTTATTGCACTGTAGTTTGGAATTGAGTACTGTGATACCTCCAGCATTGCTCTTTTTGTTCAGTATTGCCTTGGCTATTCACGGAAGAACCACTGCTTTTTAAGCAAAGAAGTTCCATGATTGAATCTCGGCTTTTAGGAGAACTAATATGGCCATTGTGTGTCAGACAGACTAAGACTAAGGCTGTTAGAGTAGTATTTTAGACAGGAGATACAAGGGCCTGATCTGGAGTTGTGGCAGTAAAATTGAGAAAGTAGGAGGCACGTGCAAGAAATATGAAGAGTAAGGCAGGTTTTGGAAGCAGAGGTGATTTAGGAAACTGAGGAAGAAGAAATAAGCTGTTGGATATGCAAGCTCTGCATGTGCTTTAAAATGAATATACTTGTATTTCAAGACTTTTTATTTCACTGCAGTCAATCTGCTTTACAATAAAAAATGTTAACAAGGTTATTTACTTTCATTGACATTTTAGACCATGTATGCATTCATCAGAAGCAAGTCTCTTCTTTTTCCCTTTCCTCTCTTCTTTTTGCCATATTGCTTTGCATTTTATGAGTTAAAGGTTAGTTCCAGCTAACCTTTTCAATAATCCTAGTCCTTCCTGATTCTTTTGAAATCACAGGGCAGAGGGGAATTTGGAATTGTTATTGATGTGCACTTTCATGCCTCTAGCAACTCATTGCTAAAATTGCTTCCAACAGTGAGTTGGCCTTCATTCAGAAAAATGCAAGAGAACAGATTCCACAGACACTACTGTGTCTTTATATGCTGTAAGAAATCATTCATTCTTCATCTTAACTTAGAATCATTCCTGCTCCAGTTTAAGTAATTTTCTCTTTCCGTGAAGAGATAAGCAGGATAATAACCACTTTATAATATTCTTACATTGTGTCTCTGGCACTTGTTCACTTTTTCCATTAAGTGCCTAAAATTAGAGCCATGGGACCATTATGTGAATAGATATGAAATGCATGAGAACTTATTCCATTTATGCAAGAATCTCAATTATTTCTCATCATCTAAGTAGATGCTTATGGAAAGTATACCATTGATTGGCCTTTTTAAAAAAGTATACCAGTAAAGAAAAATTGTAAGTATTTATTGTAGATTATAGGGATTTAGCATTAATTTGTATGTCTTAACAATTTTATTCCATTGAAAGTTTGTTGGAAATAGAACTGTAAGAGACTATCTTTTAACTTACTGGAGCACAGTGTTTCTTTTATCCAAATATCTATGTATAATTGGAGATTTCTTAGGGCATTGATCCTGTAGCTGCTTTTGGGTCCCCTTTGATAATCTGATGAAAGATTATAAACCATCCCAGAAAAATTCACTTATTAATTAATATACATTTATATGTATAATTTCATAAATGACAATATATGACCATGACAGTTTTTATTTTTAGCTCATATGGCTTCTTTGTCATTAAATTCCTTTATTCATTCAACCAATGTTTTTTGAGCTCTTACATTCAACCAGGCCTATATGCAGTGTTGAACAAGACAGGAATTCTGCTCTTACGGAGCAGTAAGCAAATATCACACTCTGAAATTATCTAATGTTATCTCAATTTTAACTGCCAGGAACAAAAAAGTAGGTTAGTGAAGGAAAGTACAGGTTGAATATCCCTTTTATCAAAAATGTATTTGGTGATAGGGCATCCAACTGTACATTCTAAAGTACCAGAGGTGTTTCAGATTTTGCATTTTAGAATATTTACGTATACTGGTTGAGCATTTCTAGTCTGAAAATCTAAAATTCCAAATTCTCCAAAATCTGAAACTTTTCAGCATTATGTTGGTACTCAGAAGGCTTTGGATTTTGTAGCATTTTGTATTTTGTATTTTCAGGTTAGAGATGCTCACCCTGTATTTGGGGAGGCTGTTCTATCCAGGGTGGATTAGACTTTCTGCCAGTACTAAATGGTAACTTTGTAGGTAAGAACTAAAACATAATTCTTTATGTGCTTTGAGTATAAAATCATAGAATATTAGAATTGTAAGACAATATGTGATTTCCCCACCTTGCTCCACAAATGGACTCGTAAGAAGTAAGACCTAAAGGAGATAAAATAATCATCTTTGTGACTACAGACTTGCAACCTGAAGGGCCATGAATAGAAGGAGAAGGAGAACATTTCTACAATGTGTGTAATAAAGGACCCTAGACTTTTGGGGCCATAGCACTTGCTTAAGTACATGATGCCTAAACTAACAACAAAAGAGTGAGGGGAAGTCAAACCATTGTAGAAAGAAGAGTGAGAGTCGGCAGTGCTATACAAGAAAACTGAGAGGAGACACAGTAGGACTAGGACTTGGTGGTAAATTGAGTATGCAGGGCAAGATACAGAAAGGTTCCCAGATTTCCAGCGTATGCAACCACATGGACTGGCACTGTTCACAGAATTAATATCAGGTATGGGGCAGGGAGCTCTCACAAGATGAGGTTGACAGCCCTTGAACTGCCAACAGTAAGAAGTCAGAGGTTTGAGCCAGAGATTAAAATACACATATCACCGGAAATTGTTTTTTACTTTGATTTATACAAGCAGATTATTAATAGTGTGGTGTTCTCTAAGATCCTTGGAGTTCTCTTTCTAATGAGTTTAATAAAAATGCTAAATTACTTATCTGTAACAAAAGCTCATCCTTAGTATGTTTGGATTATGTTTTGTTAAATCATTACTTATAATCTACTGTAATAATATATCGAGTGTATAAGTCTCGATATATTGATTTGTTCTTTGGGGCAGATGTTATATTGAACTTCAAACATGCTAATATATTTAAAATAATAGACTTTTGAAAATTGTTTCTTTTCCTTAGATTTGATGCTGAATTTGTTCTCTCAGCACCTAACTCAGAATGGAATGGAAAACAGGGACACATTTCACCAGCTCTTCTTTCTGATTTTTTTAAAAGAAGTGTAGAAAAATCCAAAGTCCTCCTCTGCATTTGTGGACCAACACCATTTACAGAACAAGGAATAATGTGAGTAGTAGTGTGGTAGGAAGTAGAACCTACAACACCTTAAAATGAATATCTTCCATAAAAAGCAGAGGACATAACTCTCAGTTTTCCTAGTCATATGAACCTACAGTTTTATAATCTGTTATGGTTAAAGAAAATAATGAAGGTTTTGATCTTCATTTAGGAGAGGGGTTGGAAGCCAGATTTTTCATAGTGTCATACATGAACACAAAAGTAAGACACAGCCAGAAATCAGTATTTTCTGCCAATGAATGACATAATGGACAGTTACAAGATTGGCGCCACAGTCTTCTTTGGGACAGCAGGCTCAACCTCTTCTTTCCCCAAATCTTTATAGTATAAATACTAGTTAATAAGCAATGATCATCTCAAATAGTTTACCATCTTCATTCTCTGCACCTGGTTAAAAGGTGTTAAATAATAAATATAGTGATCCAAAAATGAGGCATCAATACAGAAAGGAGACACTAGAACATAATAAGGCTAAAATAGAATCCTACATAATGAAAAATCAGTATAGTGGCCACTGATTGAAATTTGTCTTGATACGATTTAACTCTAAAATGACACTTTAAAATATTTAGTTAAATACAGCCACTGTTGAGTTTTTAGATGATTTTATATATGACTGCCTTAAATGTTTTGGATCTTATTTTTGTTTAGTATGTGACCAAGTGTAACATTTTCTTGGTAACTTTTTATCTTGTTCTTTTATTTTTAATTATGAAAATTATTGCCTTAATCAAAAAATTTTTAATTTCTTAGGAAAAAGTATTTAATTTCTTAGCAAAAAAAAAGACTAAGCTGTATAAGGCTAAGTAGAGGATGGTCATCTTCTGAACTGACACTATTTCAGAAGTATCTTAATGAGTACTTTATAGATTGCATTTATATTGTTTTAGAATTATAAGGAATCCAGAGATAATTTAAAGTATATGAGAAGATGAATACGTAGAATGCAAATATTCTGCCATTTAATATAAGGGAGTTGAGTGTCCACTGAGGTGGCTATCCATGGGTGGGCCTACAACCAGTCCCCCTCAGTACCAAAGGACAACTGTATAACATCTCAAACATGCTCTCCATATTTAGTGAACATTTGTCAATTTGTATGATAAGACAACAGAGAAAGACTTAGCGACCTATTTTTTTTTTAACTACAGACAGGCAGCTTATTACAACTTCACCAATAATGCTCTTTTGATCCACTAGTTGCCCACTTTATTACAGAGATGAGAAAAACAGTCTCAGATCAAAAGGCCCACACTGTCTACTGGTGTAAACAAATGCACACACTCATAGCTAACATACAACTCATAACACTGTATTTTTTTTTTTTTTTGTGGTACAGGGGTTGACCTTGTGTGTGCTAGGCAAACACTTAACCACTGAGCTACATCCCCAGTCCCTATAACTATTTTTAATAGAAATAAAATCAGATGCTATGGAAAGTCAGGGAGAGACCTGGGTTGTATGTCCTAGAGAGATGGGATCTGCATGGTCAAAAAGACCTGTGCTTTGAATGATGACTGAAGTTTACCAGGCAGAGAAAAAAAGGAGCAGATGCACTGAGAGTAGAGGTATTTGGAATACTGGACTGGTTTGGCTAGAGTGAAGGCCCTTGCCTGGAGGAGATAGACTGCATGACTGGAAGGTAGGGTGGGTTCAGATAGAGATCCTAGACTGCTGTTTCAGAACTCCTGTGCCACAGTGTGTAAGTGTGTGTGAGTTGTGGAAACTGTCAACTGGGGCTTCAGTCCGAGCTCTTCCACTATTTTAATAATCATCTTGAAATCATTTGCTGGGTGTCCTAGGGTCACCTTCTTAACCTTTCTCAGCTTAGTGTGCTTATCTATAAACAGGATTAAGCAGTAATACATGAGAAGTATACATGAGAAGTGCATACCATAGTGAAACATACAGTAAGTACTAAATAAATGGTGGTCATCTTCAGCAGCATTTTAAACCATTTCTGTGGTTTTTGTCTCCGTTTGTACTGTGTTCCAAGTTGAATTCTATTTTAGCAGTATGTCTTCTTTCTCTGCTCAGTGAGGGAGAATGAGGGTAGAATGTTAGAATCAGTTCCTTACTTTGAAAACTGGTAGACTGACAAAGTGGCTCAAGCAGTAAAGCACCTGCCTAGCAAGTGTGAAGCCCTGAGTTCAAACCCAGTGACACAAAAGAAAAGGAAGAAAGAAAACTGGTGAATAGAGAAAGAAAAAAAAAATCAAGCATTTGTTCTGCCTTCTCTAGATGAGTCATACTACTGAGTAACCACATAGTAAATGGCAGAACTTTTTCTTTATAGAATTCTTCAGCTGAACAAAGAATGATAAAAGTAGAATATCATCTATCATTAATGGCTGGTAGCGTCCAGTTAGAGAGTTAACTTGGTATTATGTAACCCTGGCTGGAAGAATGCTACCCATAATGGCTTGCCATTAAATTGTGGAAAATGTTATTAAGAAATATGACCAAGATGCAGCAAAATGAAGGCCATGAAAGAATCAACAAATAAGTCTGATGTTTTTTCAACAATTACATTGAAGTACCTTGTGGGTGGAAGGAGGGAAACAAAGATCTTATAAATCAAAATATACCTAAAAGATTTACTAGCCAGTTTCATTGAGTAAATTGTAATAAGATCATGACTTAAGCAGTTGACATAGTCATGACATTTATGAAATGGCTGAAAATTTGAACTCTGCCTAGATAGTTGATGGCATTTAGGAATTGATTTTTTTAGATGTGAGAATTGTATTTTTTAAAAAGTACATATGAAATGTAAAAAATGAAAAGGCACTATGGTGTGGTGGTAAACTTAGATTGTATTTATCTTGAAACTTTTTCCCTAAGAAACATGTACTTTTGTTTTTCAGGTTGCTGCAAGATCTTAACTTTTCCACAGATGAGATCCATAGTTTTACCGCATAATGAAGAGTTGTCATTGTCTTTTATTCAAGGAATTTCTCTAAATTTGTGGTTATTTAAGATTTTTTTAAGAGAACAGTTTTTGTATGTACTAAAAGGTTGACTAGAATCCAGGTATCCGTTTCTTAAATGAAATCAAATGTTCCTTCGTGTAGGTAACTTCTTGGCTTTATTTTTTACCATAACTTATTTTATTACAGCTATTTGACCTGGAACGTCAATCATGGCAACAAATGTACACAAGATTCTTTGTTGTGGATTACACGTTTCCTTACCATTGAAATTGTATCACTGTTCTACAGTAATCACTTGTGTTTTATGACATGATAAAGTAAATGATCACTTTGATCACGTTTTTTATGCTATAAAATGTCTTATTAGCAATACAGATTCAATTTTACATTGCACTGTTAACTCAGGAATTGATCATTTATGTTCTTGTTATTAATATTAAAACGAATGCAGTAACTTATTAAGTGATCAAAACAGTTTTGTGTGTGTATATGGCATTGATGCAGAGTAGAATAAAATTATACTTAAGTACTTTTTAATCCTTGTGCTAGAAATGTAGTTGAATGTAACAATAGTGGACCAGTGTCTTAAAGGGAGTTTTAAAAGGAACCAATAGAAGATATTAGAGACAGTTCACACATGCAGCTTTGACTAAATATGTTGTAGCTTAACTAAGTCTTGACAACTATTTTGATTCTTTTCCAAACGAATGCCAAAGATATCAGGAAAGGGTGAAAAAGTAGCATCTAGTCTATGACCTTACTTGATTCCCCCCCCCCCGGTATTGGGGCTTAAACTCAGGGCCTCATGCTTGCTAGGCAGGTGCTCTACCACCTGAGCCACTCCATCAGCCCTTAGTCTGTGACTTTAAACTAATAATTTAGTGCTTTGGAATGAGTTAAGTTTTAATTCTTTTTGAGCAAATCTAAACCAGCTGGGAGAAAGAGGAACATTCTGTCCTAAATAATCTGTTCCTGGCTGGCTACTTTCCCTAGGATGGGCAGTTTGGCAGGGAGCCCTCCTAGACACTGGTGTGTGGGCTGTTCATTCTCTTTTCGTGCTGCCGTGGGCAACATTGAAATCCTTTCCCAGACTGGGATTCAGCAAAGGATTTCAAAAGTCATTGTGATTTTAAAGAGGAAACTGTATTGAATGCACAGGGTGGAGAATGCGTAAGCTAACTTGGATTTTTTCAGTCTTAAGGCAGCAGCAGTGTTTTCACAAAAATTGGGGATGAGAGGAGTCTCCAGTTTTCCTATAAATGGTTTTGTAAATAGCTAAATCTTTGTGAAGGAGTAATTTACTCAGAGGCACACAATATTAACATTCCCCAAATTATAAACACACAGCTTATAAGCACCCTATGTATAAATGGCTGGTTGCACATTCACTTTTCCTGTGCCTCCTTCTAATGTAGCCAGGTCCACCCTCATTTTCACTCACCAAGTCAAAAATCTATCTGTTCTGGGCCAGCAGTGTTCCCTGGGGGCTTACAGGAACTTCCTATAGTTCCATGGCTCCTTACCTTCTTTATTCCCTCCTTTTATTACTACTTTTTGTTTGTTTGTAGCTCATTGGTAATACATCAAGTCTATCTTAGCCAACATCTTTCTCATCTTTTCTAACCTTTTTTTTGGCAGAACTGGGGTTCTCAGGGCTTCATGCTTGCAAAGCAGGCACTCTACTGCTTGAGCAACACCTCCAGTCCATTTTGCCCAAGCTGGCCTTGAAACTAGATTCTCCCGTTTGCAGTTCCCAAAGTAGCTAAGGATCATAGGCGTGAGCTACCTACCCCCATCCCTGCCTTTTTTTCTCTCTCCTCCAATTTTTTTCCATTTACCTCAAGCAAACAATTTCATCTCTGTTCTCTATGTATATCTCTTCTTCATTCTTCCTTTTATTTATTATATTTTAAACCAAAGAACACATATAAGCATTGTCTGGGTAATCTCTTCTACAGTATTTTATCAATTTACATGCTAATAATTCCCACTTTGAAGTCTCTAACTTGAAAATCAACTGAACTTCAGTGTTCATACCTACATACCTCCTGGAAGCCATCTGGATTATCCACAAGGCTGTCAAACTCAAATTGTCCCAAACTAAAATTTAACCATAATCATTCCTTCCCAAGCTTAGACCTCCTGTTCAATATTACTTTTCACATACTCGGCACTTCTAGAACCTTTAAGAATCAATGTCAATGTCTCCCTCTCCAATCTGACTCCCCCTACCAACTAATCCTGGTCTATCATTCAGTGACCTGAAAATTAGTCTTCCTGCTGCAATCTTGATCTCATTGGAATGCATTGTAAATTTATGTGTGTTCTAGAAGGTCTTGGAGAGAAACAGTCTTCCAGTGAATAATAGCCACATGCTGTGAAATACTGTGTAGGTTATAACTGTTATTCTTGAGCAAAGACTCCTATATCACATATTTGCAATAAAGAAAGAGAATTATGCTCAAAATTCCTTTGAGAATTCTGCTTGCTTTTGTTTTTCAATCTAAAATGTATTTACTTTTATTAATGTATATTGTATAAAATAATGGGTTTCATTACAACATCTCCATATACATAATGTATTTTAGTCATATTCCCTCCTCTATAACCCTTTCTTTTCCCTTCCCTTTTCCACATCCCAAACATACTTTCATGTATTTTTTTCCTCTTTAAATTCCACATCTGAGAGAGCACATGTGATACTTGCCTATGTGAGACTGGCTTATTTCACTTAGCCTGATGATCCACAGTTCTACCCATTTTCCTGCAATTACATAATTTCATTCCTCTTTATGACTAAACAAAACTCCTTTGTGTATATATACCACATTTTCTTTACCCATTCATCCATTGACGATCACCTAGTCTGATTCTGCAGCTTGTCTATTGTGAGTAGAGCCACAATAAACAATAAAAATTTATATTCCTACCAAAGGTGTGTAAGGGTTCCTTTTTCCACATCCCACCAACATTTGTTGTTTTTTGTTTTCTTAATGATAGCCACTCTGACGGGGTAAATGTGGTTTATGTTTGTATTTGCCTGGTGACTAAAGATGTTGAACATTTTTTTCATTCATGTACTGGCCATTTGTACTTGTTATGAGAACTGTTCATTTGCCTACTTATTGATTGGATTATTTGCTCTTTCTGGTGTTTAATTTTTTATAAATTTTTATGTATTTTGGATATTAATCCTTTGTCAGATGGAGAGCAAAGATTTTCTCCATCTCTTCACTCTTGTTTGCTATACAAAAACATTTTAATGTAATGCAAGTCCATTTGTCAGTTCTTGCTATTATTACCTGAGTTATTGGCATCTTATTCATAAAGTCATTGCCTATATCTTAAAGTGTTTCTCCTACGTTTTCCCCTAGTAGTTTCAGATCTTACATTAAGATCTTTGATCCATTTTGAGTTGATTTTTGTACAGGGTGAAAGAGAGGCATCTAGTTTCAGTCTTCTATGTGTGGATATCCAGTTTTCCCCACACCATTTGTTAATGAGGCTGTCTTTTCTCTAATGTGTGTTTTTGGCACTTTTGTCAAAAATCAAATAACTGTAGCTATGTGTGTTTATTTCTAGTCTTCCATCATCTACATATCCATTTTTGTGCCATGCTGCTTTTGTTACTATAACTCTGTAATGTAATTTGAAGTCAGATATTGTGATATATGCAGCAGCATTGTTTTTGCTCAGAATTACTTTGTCTTTTTGTGGTGTTTTGTGTTTCCATATGAATTTAGGATTGCTTTTTCTATTCCTGTGAAGAATGTAATTATGTGTTTATATATTAGTTACTCTATTACTGCCAGAAAAATTATCACAAACTTAGTGACTTAAAAAACACTCACCTATTATTTCATAGTCTGTGGCTCAGAAGTCTGAGCATAGTGTGGGTCAGCTGGGCCTCTAAGGCTTTACCAGCTGAAATCAATAGTTGGCTGGGTGGGGCGGGCTCTTTGTTAGAGGCTGGGGGAAAGTTGTCCTTCTGGCTTCATTCAGGTTATTGATAGATTTTTCGTTCTTTGCACTTGTAGAGCTGAGTCCCCCATTTCCTTGATGGCTGTCAGTGAGGTCAAGTCTTTGCTTCTAGAAGACGTCCACATTCTTTATCATGCTTTCTATGCAGCCCCTCCAGCTCTGGGAGATCAAGTCCCTCTCATGCTTTGAAGCTCTCTGAATTTTTCCCACCACATCTTTCTTGCCCCAGCCAGAGAAAGTTAACTTCTTTTAAAAGGCCCATGTGGTTAGATTGAACCCACTGAGATACACAGGTAATCCCTACTTTTAAGAACTACAGTTTTTTGGTTTTTTTTTCATGTGCTGGGGATACATTGTGACATTTACAAAACTTCTTACAATATATCAAATACATGATACTTGAATTTACCCCCTCCATCATTTTCCTTTAAAGAATTGAGATCTTAATTACAGCTGCATAGTCCCTTTTGCCATGTAATATAACATAGCAAAAGGTTGCATGCTGTAGGGTGTTGTAATCTCTGGTGGGCCATTTTGTATATCACAGTCTATAAAGAAAACAGAGAGAAATTTGTCCAAGGTAAGGTGATTAGATTTGTTTAGATATCACTGTAGGTTTTTGATTTTTACCTTAATGTAATGGAGCAAAAGAGGAGCTATCACACACATACTCAAGTTCCTTGTTCTGGCAGAGGATTGACTACAACCTCTGCTATGGCCCGTCATCTCAGCCACATGAAAACTTGTTCCAAATCAGCCTGGGGTCAAGTCTGTTGATGACTATAGACTACCACAGCAGATGAATGAGACTCTGTATGGTTTATGCTGTTTAGAATTGTTGCTAACAGACTACAAAAGAAAAGTGGAACATGAGCCAATCCAGCCAATTCTCTTGGTATCTTTCAGCTTGGGTTTTATGGTGAAGCCATCTTTATCCATAGTTACCAGTTTAGCAGACCTAAAAACAGAATGCAAGAGTGATGACCTAAAACTCAGAAATGTGTTTACTTTCTTGGTTAAAGTTCCCTTCTGAATCCCAGCCCCCACTCATGGAATGCAAGCTGTACCTTGGATCAGCCAAAAGGCAGAAACAACCAGATGTCCATCTGTGAGTACATGGATAAACAAAATATGGTACATCCATTCAAGGGAATATTACTTGGCCATAAAAGGATTGAAGGACTGATATATGCTGCAACATGGATAAGCCTTAAAAACATTATGTTGAGTGAAAAAAGCCAGTTATAAAATTCCACATACATGACTCATTC